AGTGTTAAGAGAGGTTGCTGAAGAAGACACGGCATTGAAGGTATGGAGGAAGCTAGAATCAATTTATATGAAAAAGTCTCTTACAAATCGATTGTTGTTGAAGAAACAACTGTATACGCTCCAAATGGAAGAAAACCAAGAACTCAGAAAGCATTTGGACGATTTCAATAAATTGATTCTTGACCTCAGGAATGTGGATGTGAAAATTGACGAAGAAGATCAAGGGATCATACTCCTCAGCTCTCTACCGAAGACGTATGAAAACATAGTTGACACTATGTTGTATGGGAAGCAAACTTTGACATCAACTGAGGTTAAGTCCATTTTAATGTCAAAAGATGTTCAAAGGAAAACTGATCAAAAGGAAGACAAGAATGGAAACATTCTGATCGCTAGAGGAAGATCAGAATCACGTAGGATCAATGCTAACAAGAAGTGCTATCATTGTAATAAAGAAAGGGCATAATAAGAGGTTTTGTCCAAATTTGTCTCAAGGGGTTGAACCAGAAGTTAGCTTGGCCATAGCCGCAGATTTGGGAGACGGTTGGACAGATTCTGATGTTTTGTAAAATCTGGATTAGGAGGTTGATTGTTATGATTTATTCCAAATTTTATTAGATTGTTTCTTGTTTTGTTTTCTTTAGTTTTTTTTGTAGTGTGTGGCTTATCCTATAGCCACGTTTGTCTTTAAATAAGCTCTTTGGGCTGTATTACATGCAAGTCATAATAAGAAAATTCATTCTCTCAATTCAATTTTCATTTTTTCTGTTTTTCATTTCCTGAAGAAGCCGAACCAGGCTCTTCTTCTTCAAGCTTTGGTAATCAAACTATTTACTGTATTTTACAGTTTTATTTGCTTATAATAAACTTAATATTAGACAAAATAGATATAATTAATATAATTAAAAATAATTATATATAAAAAAATCTTCATTAGTCATAAGAATTGTAGTCCATATTGAAGACGCTAAGAACCTAGAGTCTCTGCTAGTTGCTCCTATAGTAGGGGTGCGAACGCTAGAATCCTAGAGTTCTTATTTTATCGAGTCAAGCTCATTTAACTTATACTTTTCTAAAGTTGAGCTTAACTCGAGTGAAAAATATAAGGCTCGAGCTTGACTTGTTTTTTAAGCTCAATTTACTATTTAGAATTTGAATAAAAAATAATTAATCAACTAATATAAATGTACGTTGAAGTCTCAATTAATATTATTTAAGCTAATTTGACAAGCCGACGAGCTAAGTCAGACGACCTCGAACATGTAAAAGATATGAGCTTAAGTTTAAGTTGGAACTTGAACTCATGGCTTGATAAGCTTGACTCGGGAGTTTATTACCGAGTCGAGTTTGAGTCGACTTGGTTCGGCAAAGTACCAGGGTCAAGTACATCTTCTACTCAATATTCCTTGTTATATTTTTATGGGTTTAATAGAATACACAAAATATTTTCATTATATTAAATATTTTTTTAACCTAATACGTAGATTAATTTTTTTTTTTTTTTTTCATGCCGCCTTGATCAAAATCCAAAATTTAAAAATGTGAACCCTTCAAACATCACCTTATAAATGTAAGGGAGCTGATGATTTAATCACCTAAAATCTTTGTTCTCTATATTTTGTAGAAAATTTCACTTTTCATTGCATTACTGGTAAATGGTACTCGAAACGATATGACCGAATTATTAATAAAAAATGTCCTTATCTCATTTGATCTAAATTAATAAAAGATATTTAGTTAGCTCCACAAATTATAAATGTTTGGCGGGCAATATTGTCATTTTTTATAAATTATTGAACAAATTATGCTTTGTTGCTCATATCATGAGTCTGATTTATTTTTTCTCGTGCTTAATTTATACTATAATTAAAGTGAGTTATTTTCTTATCCTTTTTATGTACTCTATTAATTGGAGCCTAAGCTCTTAACTACTCTCTCACTCTCTCTTTCTCTCTGTGAGTGTGTGTGAAAAAAAGAAGAAAAAACACGTACCATAATGTCTGCATAGTCCATATGTTAAATTCCACCCTAATGTCTCATCAATGACCCTTTTTCCTCTTGATATTTACTAAAAAGTCTTATTCTTTGGCCGTATCAAGCAGCACTAGTGCTTCATAATTAATGGAAAGGGGAGTTGAACCTTATCTTTCCTTTCAACCAAAAGCCTAATGAAGACAACTTAGGTAGAACAATCTTATCACTACTTATATTTAATTTTATTTTCAAGCAAACAAAATGAGAAGTTAGTTGTTTGTGAAAATTTAGCCCTACCCCCTCGTTTTACTAATATATATATATAGGATGATGTTTTCTCTTGTACTATTCTTCAGACCCATTAATTAAATTATTTATTTGTTGGGACAAAAAAATATCAAAAATGACATTTTGATTAGGATTCATAGTGATATATTGCAACAAACATATGGATATAATTTCAACCTTATAATGAAAATTCTATCATTAAATTTTAAAAGATTAAAATTAATCGGTAGAGTTAATACTACCATAATATTTTTTTTTAAACATTTTCCTTGTTTCTTTTAACATGTGCCTTGTCAATAACTTTGTTTTACTTTTATTTATCATATCATACTTATAGTGTATGTATATAAAGAGGTTGAAGTGATATTTTTACTAAAGATGTGCGAACAAATAAAATCAAATATGGTTGATTATAAGAATTAAAATACTTTGCTCAATAAAATAAGATTTCATTGATTAAAAGAAATAACAATTAATTATAAGAAGATTGTGATTTTTGCTCATGATAGAAATTCAAAATGAAAAATTAAAAGGTATTGTAGTAATGAGATATAAATTAATATCTATAATAATTAGAACATATAAGAGAAAGAATTAGAATAATTAATGTGCGTGTTTGGCGAGTAGCCTTCAACAAAAGAGGCTTGAGAAGGAGATCTCACAAAATCATGTTTGCATAACTCATATAATTACTCTATATTCCAACTCTAAATAATCGTAGTTGTTAAATTCTTGAATTGAAGATGTGATAACTCTAGGCATTTTAACTTGCATCTTATTAATTATGACGACCACAACGATCCTTGTTTTAGAGGAAAAACTCAATATATTTAAATATATGTTAAAATGCTTAAATTTATCAGAATCTCAAAGATACATTAAAGCTTCATTTGGGATAATTTTCTTACAGCTTCTTAAATTTATTTTTTAGTACAAAAATAAAAAAAAATTGTACTAAAAAGCTGCTTTATGAAACAGTAAGAAAGTCGTCCCAAACGAAGCCTAAATCAGCATCAAATGAACATAACATTGCTCTCTTCTAGAATAGAAGATAGTCTCATTATGGGCAAAGTTTCAAGTAACATCAATCTTGTGAAGGCTATGGACAAGAAATATTTGGTTCATATTTTCTAGAGTAGAAATAGTTGATTACTATCAGTAAGTAGACATCAATGAGAATTAATGTTATCCCCATCTTAAGCCATATTATATGCTTAAAATAGATTAAATAGCTTTGATTTATTATTCATCATCCAATTTGACACTTAAAATTATCAAATTTGTGGCTAAAAAACAGTGCCAGCCAAAACCTCCTTTTGGATCAACCAAGTTCATCATATATATATATATATTCTTTCTCTCTGTTCGGACGAGCTCTGTCGTCGCCTCAATATAGCGGCGTGTTGCCCAAAATATCTTATTATGTATTGCTATTTATGCAGGTTTAGAATTTAGGGTGAACCTCCCTCAAATAGAAGGAATGCTGTCAATTTTTTTTTCAGGTGCTACAGGTTTCCGGCGGCCAACCGGCGGTTTGGCCGCCGGTAACTACGATACCGGACGGCTTAAGCTATGCCGCCGGTAATTCCCTTAAACCGCTAGTACTATACCGGCGGTTATCCGGTGAAAGCCCGGCGGTGTATGCCGCCGGTAATACCGTCGGCCTTGACCGCCGGGCACCGTCGTTAAAATAACCGGCGGTGTACCGACGCTAGCCGACGGTTAAGCGAACGCCATCGGTAAAGTGACCGCCGGTTAGCCGCCGGTAATATAACCGGCGGCTCAACGGCCGAAAAACCGCTGGTTACAAATCCGGTAGTCACCGGCGGTATACGCCGCCGGAAAACCGCCGCCTAACAGAACCGCCGGTACTAAGCCGTCGGTAAAAGTTTCCTACGCCAATTATACCGGCGACGTAAAAACCGCCGAGAAACCGCCGGTAAAATTTAAAACCGCCGGTTTTGTCTTCCTAACTGCCGGGAAAAACCACCGGTTTTTGACGTTTTTCTTGTAGTGATTCTTTTCCAACTATGATGAGGATGATCTATATATAGTCATAGATTTGTCAAAAAATAATATTATACTCATTTTACATAAATATAACAACTATAAAATTCAATTGTAAGGATTTTGAGTGAGTAGACTGTCGCGCAAGATTTTTTTTCAATCTCTTTTAGCCTTGATGCATAAATTTTAGATCCTTTATTACTATATTATAATTGAATCCACTGCATTGAATAAATTATAATTGGAAAGAGGGCTACAATCATTATAATAAATAATGTTTAATTAGAATGTTTGTCGTTTAATCGAAATGAGATGAGAACTTCTCCTTTGAATATATGCATATACTTATGCCCACCTTTCATTAGTTAATTCTTGATCTCTACCAATATTTGTTACAATCATTTATCTAACGGTTGCTACACACTTATTAGTGAGTCCATTATATATATAACAGTTCAATTATCACTCATAACCAACCTCTAATTAATTAATGTCGATTCTCTTTATGAAAATTCTGGTCAACAAAGAACACAAAAACAAAATTATCTCATGTCACTACTCTTGTCCTATTAATTAGGTTAATTTCTTAGCTCTCTGCTCTTCATTTGCTAATGAATGACAGGCCTTAACCAGAAATATGCAGCTATATATAACTAGTAATGCTCTATTTCTTTTAACCACTTATATATCTCCTTCAACTTCTATACAGTACTACCACCAATAATACAAATATGGAGGAAGCCCAATATTTGATGTGGGCAAGAAAGAAGCAGCCCATTGATCATCAGCTTGATCTCTTCAACTCGCCACCGATCGCTCTCAGATTAACGTCGATGTCCTCGTCAATGATCGACAGTCGATCATGGGAAGAGAAAGCCTTTGCTGAAGACTCTGCAGGTATTCTTGGAGGAGGCTGTATATGGCCTCCAAGGTCCTACCCTTGTAGCTTCTGTGGAAGAGACTTTCGATCAGCTCAAGCTCTGGGCGGCCACATGAATGTTCACCGGAGAGATCGAGCAAGGTTGAAGCAATCTTCAATCGTCGAAGAGGAGGACGAAGCAGAAGATCTCGTAAACCCTAGCCTTATCCCTAATTTTGGAGAAGAAATGAGGTTGGATGAGGTGGATTTGATAAGGTTAATGAAGAGGGATTTGGATGGGGAAGAAGATGAAATTAAAGGGAGTTGTAAGAAGAAGAAGAAGAAGAATTCTTCGATGAGCCCAGCTGATATAGTTGAAGAGTTGGATCTTGAGCTTCGGCTTGGAGATCTGCCTAAGGTTAAGTAGATTTGTACTTTTTTAAAGAAATGATTAATTAGTGAGATATATTTCGATTTCATGAAGTATTAATGCATATCAGTTCATTTGTTATGCAATTAATATAGCGCATGTTATAATGATATTAAAATAATATGATAGATTGCCACAATGTACGTCCAATCTGATTAAATATAGATCAGACAGACAAACATGCGAAAAGAAAATCAAATGTGAACAGACAGAACTGTATATTTAGAAAGAGTAAGGGTAGCGCATAGCTATATTCTTTTGCTAAACGATCTATCTATCTGTCAAGTAAGATGCCCTAAAATATATATAAATATATAAGAACAAATAAGGAAGTAAAGAGTAATTAATGGACACTCGTGTTTATTTTTTGGAAAAAAATGCATGCGCATTGCACCACATTCTGTCTAGATCGATCAGAATAATGTCTAAAATATTAAAATAATTATTGCGAAGTTATAATACAATGAAAATATTATATTAATTAATTGCACTAGTTATATATATATACTTGCGCGTATATTTCTATGTCTTGAAGAAAAAAATTTGCAACTACATTTTGTCCAATAGTATAGCTAGCTTGCCATTATCTCTTATTCTCGTGAAAGTTTCAAGTTCAGAGAGGATTTTAGATTGGATAAAAGGCATATCATCACAAAGTTGAAGATATATAATTTTTAATTTTCTACGTTGTATTTATTCTTGACCAGCTAGCTAGACAGCTATTAACGCAGCTAAACTAACTAATTTTATAAAAATTAAAAATTATTATTTTTAAAAACTTTGATAAATATTATTTTATAGTTGAAGAATATAATTATCTTACATTCCAAGGTAAACTTTAGGAGGACATGTCATAAACCAAATTCTTTCTAGACTTTAGAGAGAGAGAGAGAGCTAGCGGAAGAGATAGTGACTAGTATAGGACTGTGGCTACCCAAATATTTATGAAAGAAAAATGAAAACCTAACGTCATATTTTTTTTTACATGATATAATCGTATACATAATGATGCGGAGCATCTTAGTTATAGTATTTCTTAGGAGTAGTTTATTTACGTACTTTTGTTATAAATTTGTTACTAGTTTCTAGAATGTTCTTAAAAATGTTCCTCTTGACTAACTTATTACAAGTTTATAGAATGATCTTATTAGCCTATAAATAGGTAAAGTATTGTAGTAAGAAGGATAATGATGAATATTATCTCTTCTTGAAGCTTTTAAGCTTTGTGTTTATCACTTTCATGAAAACCTCCCAGCTAGCTGTATGTAACCTATGTTCTTGAAGAAGTCCATAACTGGAACCTGCAGATTAGTAGTAAAGAGCACAAGCAAACGAGATAACAAAATAGATGGAAGAATCAGGAAGAAGATGAAACCGATTTCCTTGAATAGAGAATCATCCTTCTTACCAACTCTGCTACAGTAAAGCTACTATATAATATCGGTTAGTTACAGGAGTGCGGCTCAGATCATTAGAGCAGAGATCAAACGGGTAGGATTTAAAAGGGCTCTGCCATACAGCAGCAATAGTGTAAAGGCAAGCCGTAATATTGAGCATAAGTAGTATATCTTATCATTTCTCTTTATCAGCCCCCCTCAAGTTAACCACTGGTGGAGAAAGTGTTAACTTGTGTCGAAGAGCAGCAAAACGCACAGCAGGTAGAGACTTTGTAAAGATATCAGCAGGCTGGTCTTCGGTGGAGATATGATACACTGAAATGTGACGGGAGCGAATGCAGTCTCGTATAAAATGAAAATCAATTTCAATGTGCTTAGTTCTAGCATGGAAGATTGGATTATTTGCTAAGGCAAGTGCAGAGACATTGTCACAGTATAGTGTTGTAGGAGATGTAAGCGGCACCTGAAACTCCATGAGCAGGCGACGGAGCCAGATAAGATCACAAGCCGCTGTAGACAATGCTCTATACTCGGCCTCGGTGGAAGACCGAGCAACAGAAGTTTGTTTCTAGACCATCCATGATATTAAAGTATTGCCAAGGAAAGCACAATATCCTGTAATGGAACGACGATCAGACTTATCAGTGGCCCAATCTGAATCAGCAAAGGCAGTGAGTTGAAGATTTGATTTAGTGATTGGTAAGCCGAGATGTAGAGAGCCCTGAACATAACGCAACGCTCGTTTGAGCAGCTGAAAATGAATTATGTGCGGTTGGTGCATGTGTTGACACAGATAATTGGTAGCAAATTGTAGATCAGGGCGAGTGATAGTCAAATATTGCAGGGAACCCACAAGTTGGCGATAGAAATCAGGTCAAGAGTAAAGAGGGCTGTCCTCTGTGACATACGGTAATTTGGACGGCAAAGGTGTTTGCACGGGTTTGCAATCAGTCATGGCAGCCTTGCTGAGAATTTCCTGTGCATAGCTTTGCTGAGTAAGCTGAATGCCGTTCTCGGTATAAGTGGCCTGAAGGCCAAGAAATTGATTTAATCTTCCAAGAGTTCTCAAGGAGAACTGAGACTGAAGAGCAGAAATTAATTGATCAATGGCTGTTTGAGAATTGCCGGTGAGCAAAATATCATCAACATACACTAAGATGTACAGTTGAGTTGTATCTTTATGAAATAAGAGGAGAGAAGGGTCGGCAGTGCTTGTCTTAAATCCATATTGGATGAGATATGCAGAGAAGGTGGTAAACCACTGCCGTGGTGACTGCTTAAGACCATAAATAGCTTTGCGTAACAGGCAAACATGGTGCGGGTATTGAGGATCGACAAACCCCGCTGGTTGTTTCATATAAACAGTCTCCGATAGAACACCATGTAAGAATGCATTCGACACATCGAGCTGCACAATGGGCCAGCTATGCTGTACTGCAACTGTAAGAAGTATTCTTATGGTGGCAAATTTTGCAACAGGGCTGAAAGTTTCATGATAGTCAAGACCATGCTCTTGTTTAAACCCTTGAGCAACAAGTCGTGCTTTGTAACGGGAAATAGATCCATCAGAGTTATACTTGGTTTTATAGAGCCATTTGCAACCAAGAATGTTTTGACTGGGGTTATATGGTACTAACTCCCAAGTGCCCTGTTTTTATAGAGCTTCAAATTCACTGCTCATAGCTTGTCGCCAGACCAAATACTTGGAAGCCTGTGTGAAACCAGTTGGTTTTGTAGGTATAACAAGATTTGCAAGATCAAATATTGCTTTTGGTTTGAGCTTTCCTGTCTGAGCACGGGTGAGCATCGGATGAGCTCGGGTTGCATCTTGTAGAGGAGATGGTGGACGTATCAGGGGAATGGACGGAGATTCAGCCGCAACAGGAGAATGATGCACAGGTGAGTTCGATGATATAGGACTTGTATTGGTGGATGAGAGTGAAGGGTGACTCAAAGAGGTAGGCAAAAGGGTTGATATGGATTCTGGTACTGGACTAGGAGTTCTGGGTTGAACAGAACAATTAGTATGAAACGGAAAAATGTTTTCATGAAAACGCACATGACGTGAGATGTATAGTTTGGAGGTTTGAACATCAAAGCAGCGATAACCTTTAGTGTGCTCAGCATATCCGAGAAACACACAAGGACTAGAGCGAGGTGATAATTTGTGTGAGAGTTGGGTTGGAAGCCACGGATATGCAAGACAGCCAAAAATGCGTAGGTAGGAGTAATCGGGTGGGCGATGAAATAGACATTCGTAGGGGGATTTATGATTAAGAGACGAAGATGGAAGTCTGTTAATTAAATAAACTGCTGTGATTAAGGCATCAACCCAGAATTTGTTAGGTAAATTGGCATCCAGTAATAAGGCTCGACCAGTTTCAACAATGTGTCGATGCTTTCTCTCAGAAATGCCATTCTGTTGAGGAGTGTAAGCACAGGTAGTTTGATGCAAGATGCCAAAGTTTGTGAGATGGTTTTTAAATGTAGTATTGACATACTCGCCACCACGATCAGTTCGCAGAATCTTAATTGATTTTTGGAACTGATTTTCAACAGATTTCTTAAACATTAGAAAAACAGAGCAAACATAAGATTTTAAATGAAGAGGATAAATCCAAGTATATCTAGTAAAATCATCAACAAAGATAACATAATATCGATAGGATTGCATAGAAGAAACTGGGGAGGGACCCCATACATCGCTGTGAATGAGTTCTAGACATTGAGTTGTTTTACTAGAAGATAAAGAAAACGGTAAACGACTACATTTTGCTCGCGCACAAGCACTACAATGTAAGAGACGATCGGTGGTAGAACAATTGGAGAAAACTGCGGGTATGAATTTCTGGATTGATGAAGATGGGTGTCCTAGCCGTCGATGCCACATAGATGATGAGTAAGTGGGTGAAGCCAATGCTGTAGTAGCGGCATTGTTAGCTTGGTAAGCTGAGAAACGAGGATTAACTGGATAGAGCCCATGATGATTGGGTCCGTGGAGAAGAGTCTTGTTGGTCCGGGAATCCTTTATGATGAAACCATTAGAGTCAAGGAGAACAAAGCAAGGATTATCAGTAGTGAGCTTATGTATAGAAAGAAGGTTATGAGATAGTTGAGGGACATGTAAGATTTTGGCCAAACGAAGCTTACTGTTAGGAGTAGGGAGCAGTCCTTGTCCTGTATTGGCAATTTGAAGGTGTTGTCCATTCCCAACTTGCACATGAGATGCTCCAGTGTATGGTTGAATGTGCTGAATCTGAGAGGAATTGGCAGTTAAATGTTCTGTTGCGCCAGAGTCCAAATACCATTCTGCAGAGTTTGGATTGTCTGTGGTAATGTATGCTTGAGGAGCACTGTTGTATGTGGTATCGTGACGATACCAGCAGTTTACCGCTGAATGGCTTAATTTCCCACAAATCTGACATTCAATACCAGGCCGTGGTCGTCTTCCTCCTCGGTTTGAACCCGGACCACCTGTGCTAAGAGACGATCGACTAGCTGAGTTACGTCCTGGAACTGATCGTCCAGGGAATGATCCGCGGGTTCTACCACGAGTTCGTCCACGAAACGAGCCTCTAGTTGCGGTAAGTGCAAAGCTGG